ATTCTCAAACATGACTAAACACGAATCTCGGTCTTATCCAAGTTTTCTCTTTTGCTGCCTCTGATTGACTTAATTCCATTCCATAATGTCATTTAAACTTCTATTTATCGTCAAATAATGACGTCATGCGGATGACGGCATGCTCAAATTTTTTTTTTTTTTTTATATTTGTTTATTTAGAAATATTACATTCTGTCACATCAAGGACATTTATAATAGTGTTCAGAGAAAGCACACTCACACTCTATTTACAATAAAAAAAAAAAATAATAATACAGAAACTTAATAATAATAAATACAATAAAATGAAATAAAAATAAATACAATAAAATAAAATAAATGTATATAAACAAAAGAACTAACCTAATCATACACACTCGGGCTTGAGTGGAGGATCTGGCCATTGCCAAAACTCCAATAGATGCTTATTTACAGAAGGTCTCTGGGCCACTGCCGCTTCAACCTTCGAGGAGGATTGTAAGGATGGGTGGTGCTGGATAGAGATTGTGCAAGGGGATTTGGATGATAGGTAAGGTTCTGGTGAAATTTGGAGAATTTTTCTGGAATAAGGTCTAAGACAAATGGGATATTAAGGTCATGGTGTAGGATTTTGTTATTTACATAGAACGGAGCATCAACTATTGTTCGAAGGACTTTAGATTGAAAGGATTGAATACGTTTGATGTTAGAAGCTTTTGCTGCCCCCACAGTTCAAGTCCGTATGTCCATATAGGTTTCAGTATTGTCTTGTAGATAAGTAATTTGTTTTCAATAGAAAGTTTGGATTTTCTGTTTAGTAGTCTGTATAGCTGGCCGTATCGTTGGTTGAGTTCTTGTCTTTTTAGTCTAGTATGTGGGTTCCACGTTAGTCTTCGGTCTAAATGAAAGCCAAGATACCGGACTGTGTCGGAGTAAGGAAGCTGGATGGAATTAAAGTGTACTGGTGGACAGGAACTGCGTCGGAGTGTAAAGGTAATATGTTGGCATTTAGATTCATTAACTTTAATGCGCCAGTTATTACACCAGTGCTCAATCAAGGTGAGGTGGTTTTGGAGATTTAAGGATGCTATGTTGGGATCTGAGTCGGATGATAGAATGGCGGTGTCATCAGCAAAAGTTGCCAGGAAGGTATCGGGATGGACAGGGATATCGGCGGTAAAGAGGATGTAAAGGACGGGACCCAATACGCTACCTTGAGGAACACCTGCCTCAATTGGATAGCAATGCGAAAATTCAGTACCGCAACGAACTCGGAAGGTACGATCTGAGAGGTATGAACGGAGAACAAGGTACAAGGACTGAGGAAGATAGTTTTTCAGCTTGGAAAGAAGCCCGGCGTGCCATACCCGGTCGAAAGCTTGAGCTATGTCCAGAAATGCACCCGAGCAATATTGCTCAAAATTTTAAGAAAAATTTTTACGAAAAAGTCTAACGGAAATGTACAAAGGATTTATTAACCAGCATCATCATAGTTGTGTGGGAGTATCAATAGATCTTTATTAAACACTTCGAAAATATTAAAAATAATTTATAAACACGATTTACAAATAAAATATTAACTGAGATTAATTCTTCATGAATAGCTCAACTTTTTAGATCATTTTAATCTTTTTAAAAATGGTCAGAGCGTCCATGCCTCTAGTGCTCTCACTATCCCTTAGCAGGATCCCTACCTAGCTCCACTGGTAATTATAATCTTCTTCAAAGGTTGAAACGGCTGTTGCCCGGAGTCTTTATGTGTACACACTTAAAATCTGCCATCGGCCAGATTTTCATTACTTTAGTTCCCACACTCAACTTCTACTGGCTTTCAACACCTAGACAACTCCGAAATTTCAGCCTTAACCTGATTAATAAGTTATTTTGCTATTTTTATTTTATTTTTTTGTTACTTTCAATAATGAACCATTCTGATTGAACAAAAAATTCAAAAACTTAACTCCCTCTCAAAATTTGAGGTTTTACGTTTTAGGATACGTAGAATTCGAAAAACGAATAATAATTTGTTTGTCCGTCCGCCGCTCTCCGAAACTAATGGACCGATTTTTTTTTTTAATTTGACTTTAAAATTAGAGGTCACCCGAGGATGAATCTCGTTTATCGACATTTCTATGCGCCTTTTCCTTTCAAGATGGCGACCGAAAAACCTGCGTTACTATAGACTGTAGCGCCTAAACGAATAAACCGATTTCAATGAAACTTCGCTAAAGTCTTGATGCCCTATAAATTTATCTCCATAACATACTTCAACGAAAAGGAGCTGGAAAAAAAAGTTACGAAGGATAGTAAAATTAGAACCCGAATAACTCAAAAAGTATACACTTTTTTGTAGATATTGTGATAAGATGTTTCAAAGGTATTTAAATTTTCTAAAAAATTAACAAAATTTCATCGAAATCAAAGCTATCGAGAAGTTAAAATATTTTTGGTTTATTATTTTCAATAATGAACCATTGTAATCGAACAAAAAATTCAAAAACTTAACTCCCTCTCTAAATTTGGGTTTTTACGTTTCAGGATACGTAGAATTCGAAAAACGAATACAAATTTGTTTTAATTAGTTACGAATGATTACATATAACACTATAGTATTATAGTTTTTAGGGAGAGATTCAGGGCGTCCTATTAATTCAACCTAACACTTTATACTGTTAAGTTTAACTGCGCTCCAATACGGTTCCAATTAGCCAGTAGCCTAGGTATATACAAGGTTATCTACTTTAAATGGATAACCTAATTAACGACTAAACCCAATGTACTAGAAACAAACAAAGATCAAAACCCTAAAAAGTTCCGAGGATTAATCCTGCAAATCGCCATTAAAGTTATTCCTAAAGAATGCATGAGATACAGGAGGCCTCGGCCCCCAACTGGAAGGCTAAATTGTTTGCGGGCCAAAGCCCATCTAGAAAGTTAGATGGAATTCTGCTAGAACTGGATGTCTACAAAACAGGCCCTACCTATTTTCAACTTAACTCCGGAATTGAGATAAAGCCCTCCCCTCCCCTCTGATAAATTACTCAATTTACTTGATTCAACTTCTTTATAACTTAGTTCATATCCTTCTATTGAATTCGCGAGAACTAGTGAACTGTCATCATGGAAGTTTCCCACTGAATTCGCTTATCGTATTTATGCATGAAGTAGATATTTTGAAGGAAAAAGAAAGTGTATATATATATATATATTATATTATATATATATATATATATATATATATATATATATATATAGGTTAATTTTAAACACCTAAACGTGTGATAAAAACTCCATCGCAATCATAGTAATTAGGAGTCTTTCGGCGAATATTTTGATTTATCAAGAAAACGGTTCATTTGAGTAAACACTTTTAGAAGTATACCTGGTCCTGATGTTCGCGTCAAAATCTCCAAAACATAATTTATACCATCTTCGAAACCAGTTGCGTTTTAAAAGAAATTTTCAAACTCTTTTATTGTAATTTTAGTATGATTTTAAGGATCTAAATTAGGGTTCGTCACTTATCCACGTTATTCCAATACTTTTCCCATTTCCTGTTCTTCAAAATATATCGCTCCTGAAAGATGGATGAGGGATCAATTCTATTATATCATATATAGTGCAGATAATTTTTCTATTGAATCCATTGATAAGGTAACACAAACGAAAGGTGAGCGTTTGAGGTATTGCATTCAACAAATACTTTTCTCTAACTAACTGTATTTACGAAATATATGAAGAAAGGGGTTGAAGATAATTTTCCGATTTGCCTTGGAAAATTTAATTAAAATAGAATTTCTGATAAATGGGGTCATAAGAGAAAGACGAAATGAAGAAGCAAGGAAGGAAATTGAACCATAACAATTTGAGTTCGATATCACCCTCCTGTTGTTTTGAATTAATTTCAGACTTGTTTTAAATGCGTCATCGAAAATGAACCAGGCTAAAGAGACGGAATATTTTAAAGTCCAAAAGAAAATTGAGCTATTTTGACATAAATAAATAGTTTTCTAAGCAAGTATATATTTTTATTCGTTCTCTCTAATCTAGAGGAATGGAAGATTACTATTACCGTTGCAGTAGCTCACTAATGGATCAGTACATGATCATCAATACACATCTGTGACACGCGAGGGCATCAAATTTCCTCCTGTCGTTGCGGTCTTGATTCCATAACTGTCATCCCCCAATAATTCGCTCACAGCAATTTTTTCCCTTCTCGGTTCTCTTCTAATTTCCTGAAATAACAATTGCAGGAATGTTCCCTGAATGCAATTTCGTTTGATGGTTTTTTTAAGCTATAATTTCAGGAAATGGGGAGAAATGAAAATGAGGTGAAAGAAGATATCGAAATAAAAAAAATTCCCATGAAAGATTCTTAAAATACATTGTATTGTATGATTTTTTTTTAAAAATATAGATTGCAAGGAAATAAATGTTATTTTACGCCGCAGAAAAAATTAAATAAAATCATGCTGTTTTTAATGTTCTACAGCTGAAATGTCTTCTGCTATAAGCCATTAAAATAAATTAAAAAAAAAAAAAAGAATAACAATAGTCTCTAAAGAGTATCCTGTGGTCTTACAATTATGTAAGTTCGGGTTGCACAGGATTTGATCTATTAATAAAAAAGATACCAATAAAAAGGCCTAGTAGGTGAATTACTTTTTTATTTCAGGAGTCATTCCTGATCAATGAAGTTAGATAAGGTGACACAGTTGGTGTCTTATTGTAGTTAATCTGACAATGGCTATCACTTCTCGTATCGCGCAAAATTTGATAGAGTTGCATCATAAAGTGGTTGCAACAGCTGCTGCCATAGCTGTGACAGTAGAATTGTAAACGAGATTTAAGATTAAAGCCTATGAACTATAATCAATTTAATGGTATGTAGTATAATCATGTTTCAATGTAGGTAGATATGCTTGCAAGCATTTAGTAACGTTCTTCTAATTTTACAAAAAGTTAATATTTATGTGAAGATATTAAACAGTTTGAATATCTGGTTGGGATAGGTGGAGATGAACGCTGACACCCTGAGGCTAAACCTGATCGAGCTGGCGAGAACCGGAAGTAGGCTGGTAGGGGTGGCTGGCCACGTAGACTTCATGTGCCAGGAAGTGGAAGCCGCCGACCCCATCACCTTTACTACCCCAGCCTCTCATCTGGTGAGTCATAACCATATAATTTATAATTTATTATTAATATAATATATTTTTTAGATAAATAAAATATTCTTCTATGGATAAATAACCGAGAATGAGATAGCTAAGTGGTAGGACACTTACCTTTCAATATCCAAGATCCTGGATTCGAATCCCGGAATAGAACAATTATTTATTTTATTAATTCAGCCGTGGGCGACCCTGGGATCAGGAGATCCTCCTGAGGCACACCCAACCTCTATTAATTGAGAATCCTTAATTAATAATTAGTTAATGGAAAAAAACCTAGCAGTTAAGCGTGATCTCAGTCAAATCACCTCCTTGCACAACCATAGACTAAGGAACAGTACTTTCCCTAGATAGAACTGATAAATTACAAAATGACAAAAATAAAAATACCACAAATGTTTCGTGAATTCTTGGGAAAGAAACTGTGTAAACAAGAATTTTAATAGAGATGAATGTCCTGTGTTCCTAAAAATTAAATAATGATAACTTGGGTTGTATAAAGCGATAAAAAAAAAAACTACTGTTGTCCAGAAAATTATTTTCATTATCAATTTTTGCTCATTCATGCATCATCAGGAGAAATTAGTATGTGAATACATACATTTTGACCCCCAATACAGGATCTGTATTGAAGGAAAATTCGCGAAAATAAAATTCGAATGCCTCCACTTGGAGGCTAAGTGAAAAATAAGCGTTATCGACAACTCATAAACCTTAGATTACAAGTCCAAATCCCGATGTCGAGGAGTTATTTACTCTGACATTAATCCCCCGCCCTCTCAACTGGTCTGGAAAAAATCTCGTGTAGCCGAAAAAGTGGGGAAGGAGAGATAAACAATAACTTCAATAAATAAGCAATGGTCAGAAGTAGACCAATGTATAACGAAATTCCCAAAAAATCTAAAAAATATCAATCTGGTCAAAAAAAATTAAGATTTTGTGTATAAAAATTAAGGCAAAATAATTGCTAATACTAGACAATTTTAGTTATTATAAATAAACAATTGGTATAATCTGCATTCAATTCTTCCAATGTTTCATTTAGGCTTAATAAGGTTTTCTATATTTGAAAAATTACAGTAATGCCTTTATCGTAATAAGACAATAGCTAACTGCAAGACAGTTGCGAGACTCTTACACAAGACCAAGACTCGTGTTGGTCACGCATTTGGGCGACTGCACTTAGTAAGATCCAAAGAAAGCCCCCAAAAAAAGAGAAGGCTAGTTCAGATATCCAAAGAACTGCAAGATCTCTAAAATCAACAGACAAAACTGTCCAAAACATGGCCTTTTTATCTTTCCTCTCCATCGAAAATATTTTTAACCATCTTTCCATTAAATTGGCCAATTTAATTTAATTACAAATATCACAAATAGAGTCAAATTACATTATAATACAGCAATTTTTAAAAATGAGACTGTTTTTTGGACTAGTTTTGCATCCGAACGCCGCCTTGCGGTGAGTTGTAAAAACAGAGATCTGATAAGAATCAAGACGCTTAAGCTTGGAACCTCTCTCGGACACTTGAGACCAAGAAATTAAATTGAGAAGACCTAGAATACTGAACTGGAGGAGGGCGCCCTTCAAAGACCAAGTAAGATTTTTGTATGCCGGTGTAAAAGAGTGAGTTACTTTTCAGAAACTAGATAACCTACCGATTCCATAAAAATACCAAATTATGTCGAATGTTGCCTAAGTTGAACTTATTAGATTTATGCGACTATTTTTTTAATAAAGTAGAATGTTGCCTAAACATGGGTAGTTTAAAGGATTATTTTACAGTATTTTTATACAAGGAACAGTATTTTTTTCATTGGAAAGTAAAATTCAAGAAAAAACATAATTTATTCCATCCAAGTTAGTATTAGAAATTGAATTATATAAGATTATACAACGGGCCGAACAGCCAGTGAACCAGTCCTGAAAGTTTGATTCCCTGAGTTGGCAGCAATTCAATTCTCGAATGAAGCGTAACATTTCTACTGAGTTTAGATAATGGTCCAAACTTCTAAATAGGCATTGAAAACTAAATTACAATTTCTCGACAAATCTATAACCTCTCTTGTTTGTTTTCTTCGATATTTTCTATTCCACTGGTGAATATGCTGTGTGAATTAGCTACTTAATAATGTTAAGCAGACTTTCTCAACATTGTTGATTCTCTTTAAGTCGGTATAAAATTATTATGTGGGTGGTGATAATGAGCATATACACAATATAGATGGGGAACCTTTTTTATAATCAGAGGCCGGAGTAAGATTAGGTAGCGCAAATGGGAGCCGGAATATTTCTTTATATTTTACCATTTCTATTTTTGTTTATCACTGAATACACCCATCCACATACATGCACTCAACTTAATTCCATTTATTTCTAAATGTTTGCAATTTAAATAATTAAATATTAATTAATGATAGCAATAGATTAATAAATATCATGCAAAAACGTTTGGAGGCCGCGGGTCCCCACCTCTGCAATATGTACCGTAACCTAAAGTTACTTGAAGCCATCGGGGAAAAAAATTCAATAATTTCTTCTTCTTATGAAAATATCGTTTCTTATGAAAAATAGTTTCTTCTTATGAAAATACAGACGAATTTCACAATCTCCACAACAGTTAACTAGCGTTAGATCTTGAATTATTTTTCCACGTTTCCGTAATTTTTGTAGTAGAGTTCAATTAGTCAATATAAGTTACGTTAGCAACACTTAGGCTATTAAAGGGAAGTTACATATCGATGAATTAAACAATATCTTAGATAACTTCATTCACAATGATTTTTTAGACGGCAAGAAATAATCAAATAGGATAAAATGAAAATACGCAGTAATTTCATTGAACCATTAAGTTATTGTGAAGTTTAGATATCAACAATTCAAAATATGATAGTTGCTTTGTAGTGAAAAAATGTAAAAAAATATACTGACTGATGTTTCTATTGATAAAATAAGAATACAGTAAATTATTTTTTATTATACTTGACATTGGTTTTTTAGATATTTTTTTAAACTTGTTTATTGAAAAATATTACAATCTATCTTAAAGCACGTTTATAATAGTGTTCAGAGATCACATTCACACTTTATGTACAATAAATAATACAGAATAGTATTATTATATCCAATAAATAAGAATGAAATAGCCTAAATATAAATAAATAAAAAATAACACATACAGACGTATATACACTAAAACGTTGGTTTTAAAAATTATTCGTAACAATTACTTTCATGTAAACATATCAGTGAATAAATTTGAAAATTTATTATTTTACAAATATGTTTTTATGATATTTAAACGTAACACGGTAGAAGTGTTGGTATACAAATACCTACAATATTCTTATTAAATTGATTTTTCCATTAATTAAATAATTCGAAAAAAATTAAAAATAATACTAGCAGAAAAATTGTACATTGATCATTTTTAAAAATAAAGTGAGTACTCTTTTTATTACTTTTTTATGTCATAATTAAGAGGAGTAATGAAGGTTTTTTTTTATTTTGATAAGGGTAATTCCGTTTTTTTCTTTAAAAAAGATCATATAAAATTTATTACGGCTTCCATAAAACGTGTCGTAAAGTCGTCTACACCCAGAAAACGATATATAAAATGTTTTATACTTCAACAAAAAATAAAAATACTCTTCTTAAAATAAATATATCATATTAAATTCTATCTTCGAATAAATATGTACTTCTTGGACCACACGAAACAAATCTTGCCTTGTTTTAAATACGAACATGAATCTGAAATTAAACAATATTTCTCTTTCGACCAAATATTATTTTTACTAATAAGTGTATATTATTTAATTCATATTGTAAAATGCTTAATCCTAAACTTCCAGTAATTATATATAATAACTAACTCAGAAGTAGATAATGTTAGACTAAAACTTTTTTAAAATTCTAATTCAGCCCCATTACAGTTTACTTATTACACAGTTCAAATTTTATCATCATTAGTATTACTGCCAATTGTAAGTGAAAAATAATTAATCTTTGCTAGTGCATGGTATGACTTCAGACAAAAATAATAATTTAATATGTTAAGCAAATGAAATAAATATCTATGTCCTTTTATTTTAAAATTATGTTCAGATTCTATTATACAAAGAAAAAAAAAATCGTCTGCTTTTATATAAACCACGAAAAGGTACTTTGGTAATGCTGTCTTGATCTGTTCTAATATTGGACTAAATTATAATTAAGAATTAATAATATCCTTTATAAAAAAAAAATTGAACAGGCTTTGATATAAACAATTTTCTTAGGTATATAAAATAAGATTAAACTACCGGTCTGCCTGAAGCTATTTCTCTCGAGAGGAAAGATATTGAAAACGCCAAAAGTTGATAAATTACCCGGTTCCGGGGCCATTAGAGTACAACAAAATTTTATCGAGGGACCATCCTTCTCCCCCTTCCTCCATCGGTCCCCCCCCCTTTTCGGGATCTAATAAAAGTTATCAGAGATCGGTTGGATCAGAGCCAGATCGTAGTCATTTGTCCATTGTTCGAACCGACTTTCTCAATTTCTCGATGTAGACCAGCTCACCGCAAGGTTTTTCAACGTATATTCCTTTAAAAAATGAAATCATCCACTTCAATTGAAATTTATATAATGAAAAATATAAATTTACAAGTATATATATAATTATATATATATAATCCACGGTTATGTTATGGACATGGACTACTTTAACCATAGTTACCTTGTTTTTTAAAGGTTTGTTTAAACCAAGATTTTATTAGAAACATTTTTATAACTCAAGTTGATTAACATTTTGATGGCTATATTTTACATCCTTCAATAACGGAATGTTATTTTCCATATTTTTTATTTCTTCCTGCTCAGTTAGCTCGACAAAAGCTTTTATTTTTTATAATGTAACGAACTTCTTAAAGGCGAATCTGTCTATATATAAACGTCCATTAGAACATTTTTCAATCTTAGAATGTAGAGTCCGGTCGAACCTCAACTTTCAAATAGACCTGGGCACTCTTGAAATAATTTATTTCTGAAATAATTCACATGGTTATTTCACGAATGAATTATTTCGGGAATAATGGTTATTTCTCAAATAATATTTCAAACTGTCAATGAAATAATATCGATGGAATAACTGCTGCATTTATTTCTGAAATAATTATTTCACTATTCTGACATTCTTTGGAATAAAGTAAATTATTTCGAAATAAGTTATTTCTGAAATAAATTATTTCATAACTATTATTTCAGAATTATTTATTTCATAAATAAATTATTGCAAAAATCAAGAAATTAATATTTCAGAAATAACATAAAAAATTTACCAATATGCACCATGTTTTCGGGGTATCTTTTTATGAAAACAGTATCGAATTTGAGATTGCGCCCCCTCCCTCCAGCATCAACTTTTTGTAACTTTTCGGATTTAATCCATATCAGGGTCGACTATTTTGTTTTCGGGGTAACTTATTAGGAAAATTTGGTTGAATTTGAGATTGCGCCTCACCATCCCTCAGCCCTGATTGACTTGTAGTAACCTTTCGGATTTAATCGATATCAGGATCGCCTAATATGTTTTCGGGGTAACTTATTATGAAAATTTGGTCGAATTTGAGATTGCGCCTCACCATCGCCCCTAATTGACTTTTAGTAACCTTTCGGATTTAATCGATATCAGGGTCGACTATTATGTTTTCGGAGTAGCTTATTGTGAAAATACGGTCGAATTTGAGATTGCGCCCCACCATCCCCCCCTAATTGACTTTTAGTAACCTTTCGGTTTTTAATTGATATCAGGGTCGCCTAATATGTTTCCGGGGTAGCTTATTATGAAAATATGGTCGAATATGAGATTGCGACACCTCCCTCCCTCACCCAATCGACTTTTAGTAACTTTTCCGATTTAATCGATATCAGGGTGGCCTTTCATGTTTCATCTTTTTCAAATTCGACCGTATTTTCTTAATAAGCTACCCCGAAAACATATTAGTCGATTCTGATATCGATTAAATCCGAAAAGTTACAAAAATGCGATGCGGGGTGGAGAGAGGGGTATCGCAATATCAAACTCGACAGTATTTTCATAAAAAGCGCTCCCGAAAACATAAATGTCGACCCGGATATTGATTTTATCTGAAAAGTCGATCAGAATGATTATTTCACAACATTATTCCTGAAATAATCATTTCGGAAATAATGGTCAGGTTATTTCATGAAATAAATTATTTCGGAAATAACTATCGAGGTTTATTTAGGGATTTATTCCGGGAATATTTTTCAATTAAATTCTGCCCAGGTCTACTTTTAAACACTCGAATCCGATCAAACATACAATGAAAACTAAAATGTTTACCTTTCATTAAATCATTAAGAGTCAAGATATATATTTTTCAACGTATGCTTTAACAAGTGGAAAATGTTTTAATTAACTTTTTGGGCGCATACAGACAACATATTTTAATAATTTTATAAATTAATTAAACTAGTATTATTAGAAAGTATTGGGTTAGTTAATATAATTGACGTGTTGTTTAAACTTTTGACAAAAAAGAAATTAGGTACGCAAATATCTTAAGAACCCAAAACCCTTAAAAAATGCTATTTTTTTTTTGTTACATACCTTTGTAATAATAATTGTTTATTGATGGTTGACGAGTAAATAATTGAAAACAAGATTGGTTAGGCTGTTCAGAAAAAAAAGTAAAAATAAATAAATTATATTTATTTAATATAATTTATAATAATTATAATACCATCACCGTGGATCATACATATACGTGTAAATATATAATTTATAATTTATAAAAATTATATATAATATAATATATTCATTTTTACTTTCTTTTTTTTTTACCTTACAGGCCAACCAATCGTCTCTTTAATTTATTAATTATAGTTAATAAAGTGAAATTTAATTAAATAACTTTATGAAGATAACAATTTGACACATTAATGACAATATAATAGAGAATAAGTAAACGCAAAGTATTTTGAGAGGTAAGAATTACTTTTCATTCATAATAATAAAGCACTTATACTTATACTTGGTAGCAAGATGTCTGATGGTCTAATGACCAATGAATATGGCATATGTAAAAAGATTAAATAAAAAAATAATAATAAATCAAACATGTTTGTTATAATAACTATCGGTAATCATCATATTATTTTTTTTTTGTAGGAAACTTGGAGCACTTTCTAATTATCATGGGTATAATCAATCTGAAATTGTATAATTTTTTAGTTATGCGCAAATAAAATTTACTTTTCTTGATAACTTTAAAAATGCTGGCTTGATCATTGGATTTCATAAAGAATTAAAAAAGGCATAAAAAAAAAACCTTTTGAGAAATAATATATAAAGTACTTAATAATAAATATATTTACCTTGTTCTATCCTCAAAAAGTTCTAATTCAAAGTAATCTTACCTGAAACAGATTTATTAAAAAAAAGATAATTAATTTGTTTAAAAAATAAGAAAACTTGATCTTATTCATAATTGATTAATTTTCAGTTATATTATTGCAGTTTTAGGGCCGTGTATAACAGCTTAGATTAGAGGCACAATATTCTTCTTCTCTTAATCTTAACCACTTCTACCGCGAAGCAATGTAAGTGGTACAAATACAAGCAATAGGATAAAGGAAAGACAAGAAGGGATAGGATCAGAAATACGAAAATTGAAAATAAAACCGGTCTTACATTTAACTGAAGAGAATTACATACGGTTTGGTCATGTTAAAATGTTGTAGAAGTAAAGAACTGCCAAAACTAAGTACGAAACCAGAGTTGAGGGAATAAGGACAAGGGGAATGTCCAGAAACACTTGGGAACAAGCAGTCCAGGAGGAATTCAACTGGAGAGGAATGGACTGGAAATGGCGCAACCAGCTGGTACAGGATCGGGACTCTTGGATCAGGATCTACAACCAGGAACCCCTCACACAATATTCATATTACATCATGTTTTAAGTGTTTGTGCTTCAAAAATTGCAACAGAATCTTCCAATTTCAGGTTGTAAGAGACGTTGTTATACTTATTGAGACAGAGCAAAGTTCTCAATAAAATAATTCGTGGACAGAGTTTTAGATTTTGCTCCGTTTGACGTTAGAGAACTATTTCATCAAGAATATCTCGTTGGATGATTCCTTTCGAAGAGCGCTGACGGATCAGCTAAGAATGGCCTATTCTGAGACGAATATTGATGGTTTGTCCTAAGCGGTTTCCTTTTTATTTTCATGAATACATTACATTTTTATTATTTTTTAAAACAGGCTTCTCTCCATGGCCTTAAACCTGCTTTATTGAAATCGTAAACTGTCTTAATATTGGGTAAAGAAAATGTGGTAAAAACTTGCTTCTTTAGCAGCTGCCAACTATTCACTAATTCCTAACTTCAATCAATTAACTTCCAGTATAAGCGCGCTTAAATGACTTACATTAGATAAATACGTTGAATAATAAAAGTTTGAATTATAAATAAGAGTATATTTGCTAATTTAACGAATGGTCTTGATATTGCAGTTCAATGATAAATAATCAGTAATTATTTTAAATTTTGTTTTAAGTACGTAAAATAAAAATGTATTGCTAATATGATTTCGATAAATAACTATCAACCGTAGGACTTCGGTAACAAATACATCATAATTAATACAAATGGGTATGTATGGGGATTGATCCAAGCCATCACTAGATTAATCTCACTCTGTCTCCATTCCATGATAGATTATACAGCATTGACTACAGGTATTTGTTGTTCATTTGGCATAACGCCAGTATGTACTTTAGCTTAGACAGGAAGGGTGGAAATAGAAACACTTGATTTTAACTATTTTAATTTAAAATTAAACCCAGATATTTGAATAAAATGAAATAGAAAAACCGAAATAAACGGTTTAAATTTGATGTTCTCCAAAAAATAAATAATTGTACTTTAGATGTATTGAGTATTAAATTTTTATACAAAAGGATGTAAATGATAAATCTGATTTTTTCTTGTGTTTTTTAACACCTTTGAGAAATTATATATAAAGATAAAAAAATGCAATCAAACATTGTCATTGGACGATTATTATATGCAATGTTTCTTCCATCAATGCAAGTCAACATTTTTATCCATCGTATTTCTTCACGTTGTTCTTACCATCAATGAGTCGTTTATTTCCAAATAATCATTGACAAATTTTCATGAAATGCGAAAAACTGTATTTTCTATACCAATCGTAATATCAAACCTAATATTTAAAAAAATAAATTAAGAAATTCTTCATTCGTAGCACATATTTTCTAAAATCACGACTATTTCAATATTAATTAAAATAAAAACTTTAAACATCAATAGACCCGTATTTTAATTTTTTAAAATGGTGTATGAGTCGGAGGGGGGAATTATAAAACCATAAAATTAACAAAATTACTTTTTGTCTACAGTAAAATCCATTTATCATTAGAGCAAAACTGCTAAAAAAATGCTTAGAATGGATTTTTTTTAAAGGATAATTACGAAAAGCAAGTAGGATAAGAGCACGAAAAATACATCTTCTTCTTAATCAATTCCTCTTCTACCGTGCATCAGTGTAGAGGATCCTGTTTATAGAGCCTCATCCATTTATCTCGTTCTTGCACCAGCTGACTGCATCTATTCCAGCTTTTTCTAACATACCATTTCGTGCTTAGTGACTAGATATAATAAAAATAACCAATATCTTGTTGATAAATAATCAATGTGAGATCAAATAAATTATGGTTTCCGTCATTTTGCATTTGCTATGTTTTTTTTAGAATAATGATCAAATAGTTTTTTTAATGTATCTAGTCCTCTAGAGAGTGTATCTATTTAGTTTTTAATATTAAATAATATAAATAGTTGGTTTAATAACATTAAACAACTTCTCTATCTCACACCTCAATATAAAAAGTTCTTTTCTGAATACATTTCGGCAAATGGTTTATATTTTTTTAAATTAATTATGTTGTTACGGCTATAGACATCCTCGCTATGATTGTTTTAGATATATTAGCTAAATATATCATAAAAATGGTAATAAACAGTTTTATAAGAATTATATTATCAGAAAGAACGAAAAAAAAAAAGATAGTGTCTAAGAAGATAGTTCGATCCATTTTATGAAGTGATCCCTTTAACTTAGGATGTAATAGCAATACCTTTCCAGGGTCAAGAAGGTGCTTGCTTATAAAGACATTTATTTGTATTTGTGTCGAAACCACGTCCCGTGTAAATTTATTGTTTTCTTATATAAATATATATAATTGTTTATTCAGGTAAACACATATAGAGCAGATGCAAGCATTTATGAAAGACGTTGCTCTAATGGTTAGCAAGGAGTAGAGTCCTGAAAGAGGATACTCGGGAAGATAAATGGTTGTAACCTATTTCTGTCAGGGCTCTGTGCCCTTCTCCCTTAGCCTTATCTAAATTTACAGGCTAACGTCCCCGCGGGCTACATTTTGGTAAACAGTGGTCTCCGGCCCTGATAAATTGAATTTGACAAGGAATCTTCCTTTTTTTTTTATCTTCAAATATATATTTTAAAGATAAAATATCCTATTCGGAACTAGAATGCATTATAATACATGAATAAATTTAATTTTTGTTATTTTGTTAAATAAATTTAAAAATTGTTAGAACACTTTAAGGATAAAGTAATGAACTAATACAGATTTTTATTGAAGACAAGTTGCTTTAAGTAAGACATTTGCTATGAGATTTACTATTACAATATTAGTTTTGCTTTCACTTGTCTATTAGATTGTCTCATAATTCCTTTCCCTTTTCTTTATTTGTTGTTTAAGGTTAATTTACTGTATTATATACGAACTGTCATGCCCTACTACCTTCTTCTATATTTCAGGAAGCCTCTTATACGCTTTTTCCAAATTTTTGAGACTTATTCCCAAAATATTCATCGAGACGAGTTTTTAATTAGCTTTTGGTATTTTTGACATTAATTTCGAAGAAAAATTTTTTAAACGAAAGAAACAAGTAATAGTCGGATGGGGAAAGGTCTGGTGAGTACGGATGATGAGATAGAATGTCCCAATCAAACAGTAAGAGCTTTTGTCTTACGGCCGATTCTGCACGTTCCGTTGGCCGTAAGACAGAAACTCTTACAGTTTTATTGGGACTTTCTTACACATCCTCCGTACTCCCCAGACCTTTCCCCGGACGATTAATATATCGTCAATCACTCATGTAAGATTTGACGGTTTTTTAAATAATATTTTTAAAATTTATAACTTGCAAAATAGTAATACAAAACAAGTTAATAAAAGATAAAACATTAACAATATTAAGAAAACGAAATTGAAGTGTTTAATAGTCAAAAGTAAACAACTCAAAATATGGACAAAAGACAATGACTAATATAAAAAAAAACTAAGGTAAGTGCTTTGGTGCACACGATAGTGAAAACATCAAGAAGGCGAGATTGATAATTAATATTACTAGATTCTATCGTTAAAAAGTCCTCTCCGTGATAAATGTCAAAAATCCGAAATGAGATAAAAACGTTAAATGAAAAAAAAATTATAAACCCTCATCCCCATCTGTCAAAAAAGTGACAATCAGCATATTTGTTTTTATTGGTAATATTTTTTTTTTTTTTTGGTTTATTGATAAATATTACAATCTGTCTCAATAAAGGACATTTATAATAGAGTTCTGAGAGCGTATTCACACCATATTTACAAATAAAAAAAAATAAGCTAACTTCAAATAATATAAAGCTACAAAAGAACAAAATAAAATATCATAGTGAGAAAAAAAAAAAGTAATGAAAATAAACATCTTAGACGCAGGCATACCTATTACACTATTTACAGTCGGCCATAGGAACTCCGAACCATACTTATCCCTCCACACGTGGAGGGAAAGCAAGGTTTTAGGAGCTCCCTGCGCTTCTTCCTCAACCATTTCACTGGCATTGAAAGCCAGCGGAGATTGAGTAAGGGCGCTACAACCACGGACACTCATGACTTGAGTGGAGAATCTGGCCATTGCCAGAACTCCAGTATATACATGTTACAAAAGGTCACGGGGCCACTGCCGTTTCAGCCTGTGAGGAGGATTGTAGGGATGAGTGGTGCTAGATAGGGATTGTGCTACGGGATTAGGGTGATGGATAAGGTTCTGATGAAATTTGGAGAATTTGTCTGGGATAAGATCAAGAATAAATGGAATATTAAGGTCATTGTGCAGGGTTTTATTAGAGACATAAAAGAGAGCATCGACTATTGTACGGAGGACTTTGGACTGGAAGGATTGAATGCGTTTGATGTTAGAAAATTTGGTTGTCCCCCACAGTTCTAGTCCGTAAGTTCACATGGGTTTTAATATTGTCTTGTAGATCAGTAGTTTGTTTTCAATAGGAAGTTTAGATTTTCTATTAAGTAGTCTATATAGCTGGCCATAACGTCGGTTAAGTTCCTGTATTTTCAGTCTAGTATGCGGATTCCACGTTAGTCGTCTGTCTAGGAGAAAACCAAGGTACCGGACTGTTTGGTAATATTAGCATTATTATTTATTTTGTATTAATAATTACAGCATCTCTTCATGTCTTTCTCAAATCAAGAAAAGTATCTCTAATCCGTTTTCAGCTACCTACTCATAGGCATAGATCTGTTGTGTCAGTGTAGTTTAATATGAAATCTGGAGTGAAAAGTATATGTTGGGCGATATTTAGTTGTAGTAATAAAGTTTCAATGTTGACGTACCAGGGAGTTGATATTTCGACGGGAAATATGAAGGACTGTAAAAAGTGCTTATTTTTTTATTTGTGAGCACTAAATCTGTAAGGTGAACGTCCATATGGTTTTAAGTAGATATCTGCATGTATTTAGTTTTTGTCTGTTTTTAATAGAAAAAAAAGATAGTATAGTATTATCAGTCGTTATGCATTTACTTTTATTAAATTAAAAATTACTAAATATTTTAAA